CAACGTCACTATACTAATAGAATAGATATTAATATCTTCTTCAATCATCCAAATGAGCAACAAGTCATGTATGCTTTAATTGAAGAAGAAATCATTGCTAGAATTAGACAATAAGAAAAATGAAATAATCATGAGGATGATAACACGAAAATACAAAAAGTTTCGTGTCAAGAAACTTTAAACATGTTTGAGAAACTATAAATAGTTTAGAGTAATGTATCCGCAAGTTAAAAAATGTGGTAATAACTCTAAAACATAAATTATTGTCCTAAATAACTTTAGATAAATATTTTATTTCATCTTAAACCCTTAATGCAACATAGCATATTTTTTGCAATGTACAGATAATTATTACTATGTGCAGGCAACTTTCCTTGAGACGGAAATTATAATAATTATAACTTATTACAATATAGAGTTTATTCTTATTTATAATTATCCCAAATTGAAAATAATTTTTTTTTATGACTATTTAGAGTTTATTCCTATACAGGTATCACTATAGAGAGATTTTACTATATAATACAACCTCTATAAATGTATACTCGATAAATTAATAACCTCTATTATATAATAATTTTTTACGATCCCGACTCGGACTAGTATGTTAAATTAATAATTTTGACGAATTAATAAAATAATATTTTTCTTAAAAACCTTACATGATTCCGTGGTCCCATTCATGTCATAAACAAATAATTTACTAATTAACTATGATATTTTATTGAATTATGACTCTATTGTTACTTCTTTTTTTTCTTGAAATTTAAATTTTGATGGACTTCATCTTTAATTTTTCTCACTGCGTCTAGAAAATATGAGATTGAATTCTCAAATTGCAATAAAAATTATAAAGTGTTGTTGAAGCTTTGAGTGCTTCCTTGCGCGTAACAGACTCCAAAGTTATTGTATCATCCTCAAATTCATCAACAACAGGATTTTCAGTGATGTTAGCAACGATTTCTTCTAAACTTAAAACCTATGAACTTGCATCATTTTTACCAGGGTAATCCAAGAGGTAATTTACGTCCATTCTATCACGGTAATCCAAATCTTTGATTATTGTCATAGTTGATTTACTAACACTTTTTAGATGGAAGTCATTGTAATTATGAAATATAATAAGACTTTGTATTTGTTTATATAAAAATTATTTTTAATTTATTTTGTTGAATACATTTAATACAATTAAAGATATCAAGTATAATAAATAAATTTAATTCAATTAAATTATGCACGGATATTTTTTTGTTGAGTACATTTAACTAAATTAATGCAATTATATACCATGGATATTATTTAATTAATTAAGTACATAAGTATAAATGTATAATGAAATTATTATATACAATAAATATTATTTAATTAAGTACACAAATACAATGAATTTAAATTAATGCTTTAATGTATATTTAGTGGATTAATTCATATTCAATTAATTGGATGGTAAAATGCAATGAATTTTTAGTTGATTAAACGTATGTTCCTCGAATAGTATAAATTAATGATTTATTGATTAATTAATACCTTTTTTTAGTTAATATAATTTATAGAATAATACTACATTGACAACCCTTTCTCACAAACTTTCTCTCACAATCCTGACTTGACAGTTTACAATTGGTCAGTTAACAATGGGTCTCATATAAGTCTTGCATGGGTCTTACTAATTAATTACAAACTCACCAATTACGAACTGTCACGTCAGGATTGTGAGAGAAAATTTGTGAGAAAGGATTGGTGGTATAGTATTAATCTATTTTATATTGTCCCAGCATTATTAATTTATAGTTGTAATAACTTTTGGAATGATGATATATTAATTACCTAATTAATCTCATTTTTAAATAAATACAAATTAATTAAAAAAAATTACCTTTCTTTCTAGACACGCCATGCATATAATACAAAGTCGGTTACACTCCGTTACCCTTGCTATTTTAAAAAAAATAAAAAAAAATAATATTTAACAAAAATTGACATTTATAAATAATTTTGTCAATAATTAGCTACCACTACAATTTTATGTGGTCCTCTTTGCATATGGAGTTATGCTTCTTTCAGCTTTTTCAAAGGTTTTATATATTATTTCTAAACAAATATTCTAGTACCAACATTTTTTTTTGAAAATTTGATTTTTTTTTTTTTTTATTTCTTAGCAGTTAATAGTTTTCATTCTCAAATCCAATTTTGTATAATCATTTAACTATTTTATTTAAAAGGTTTCAAGTAAATAATAAGAAATGAAATAGACGATCTTGCAGTTCTTGATTTGTGAAGATATGTTATTAGATATTTTATTTTTATTTTTTCCAGTGAGGGCAAACCTAGCCCTGTGTTAAAAATATGAGTAATGCTACAGTTACCAATGGGTATGCATTGAATTTGTGCACCGAATGACGTGACACAATCTTGACCGTTGATTTATTATCAGTAAATATTAATCAACGATTATGATTTTACCATGTCATTCGGTACACAAATTCAGTGTAAATTTTTCGGTAACCCTATCATTTTCCTAAAAATATAGCATATGAATTATCGAGAAAGAGAAAAGCTGTGGTGGTTCTCTCGAACCGTCTGAATCTCTCTAGTGAATAAAAAGTTTGATGTCACTTAAATCGCACAAATGATTAGAAAGTTAGATCTCACTTGAGTCACTACACGTAGGAGTTTGGTTAGTTGCAACTATTAAAAACTTGGTTGAGGCATCCCCACCGGGCCACCCCCATAATTTCGGCTAAGCTGTTGAATTTTCAACTCTTTGTATCTTTTTCTCATTGAATTGGGTTTTCCTCGTTTTGGAAGTGCTTTTACACCAGCGCTTATGCCAAAATTGACCGACTTGCTGATAAGAATGTTAAGTCCCCCTCCATAAAGAGACGACGGCGTTTTGTGATAAAATATCCAACCCATCATCTCAAAAGTACTACCCAGCTTCCCTGCATTAATCATTCTCACCAAATTAACCCACCAATCTTGCCATCCAAATTCCATAAAGGCTTTTTTTTTTTTTTTTTCCTTTAAATTATTTTAATATTATCGTCACTTTTAATTTTATATAAGATTAGTTGAATTGTATTCAAATTGACCCGAACACGTAAATTATATAAAAAAACGACATTTATTATTAGAAAAATAAAAATTATGGTATGTTCGTATCAATTGTAAAATCAATGGGGAGTATAAAAAATTGAATAATGACCGACCAAGTTGAAGTTCATGAAACGTAATCGTATTTGTTGTAGATAATTCAGGCATTATGAATTAATAATCGTCTTTAATCAGGATATATTTCCTAAAAATGACAAACACGTCACTACCTAATTATAGAGACTAAATTGTCTTATTTAGCTATACACTCTAGATTTCATTGCTTCCAAGTTTGAGCCAGCCATCTTTTCTCAGAACGGAATCGCCTAATATATTCCTATATTAACTGCTGATTTACTCTTAATTAATTGCCGCAAAACTAACAAACAAAGAAGCACAGATCATATATTCGAGAATTTAGTGCGAGATATTCAATGGTATCATAAGCAATCTGATTTCTCGCCTAGGATAGTAATTAATTTAATCAATCGATAATTACTGAAATTGGTTGATTTAGATGGGTTCTAGAGCGATGAGCATGTGGCATGAGGAAAATGCTGTAAACGCCAGTAATTATTAATTATATGGACCCAGATTGGCACTAAAAATGGAGGTTGTTGATTGATTAAATCTTAACACTCTGTTAATCATACTTAGACGTAATATAGGGCCAAAATTAACTCCTTATCTAAATTTATTGTACTTTACTCTCTGGGAATGAACACGTCAGAGGCAAAGTAAAGTTTAAGCTAAGGACACGCAAAGGCAAAACATTCCTTTGTCACAACTTCCTATGGTGATTGGATAAAAGCATGACGTGACATAAAGAAACTTGTAACTGAACTAAGACCCCAAGATTATGCCCATCTGCTCCAACTTATCTACAATGTGTTTTTTTTTTTTTTTTTTTTAAATCTTAGAGTTATTGACTAGAAAAAAACTTTAATGATCACTCTTATTAGTAATGAAGGGACTCAAATTCGAGAGATCATATTAAATCCACACTTACTCTTTTATCATCATGAAAACTCAAATTAATTTGAAAAACCATATTAGATTCATTTTTTACTATTTTATCATAGATGATCCAATGATTGTTCTTATCTACAATTTAGACGTAGCTCCTTTTATTTTTCTTCTTTAAAATGTGTGCCTTAATAAATAGTAGCACTTTATTTAAAAAAATAAAAATATTATTTTTTCAATCTATCAAGATGATTAATGATTTATTTATATGTGATCTTAAGTGTGTTCTTAAGATTTATATTAAAAAAAAAATTCAAATTCAAATTCAAATTAGGATAAAGAATTCTACGGTCAAGATCCTTTTTTTGTGTGTATGAGTGATGCAAACTCACTCCCGAGAAAATGAATGAAGATTGGCTTGGCATGTGGTTCGGCTTATGAGATGGTCAGTGTAGGGATAAAACAAAGGTAAATATAGAGCAACTGAGCAAGATATCCCAGACAAGGAAAGCCAAAATCCAGACAAAAAGACATGAAAAGATAAGCTGCATTCTAAAGGAAATATAGTTGGCGGTGTTGCTTATTATATTATAGTATTTTTGTGATTAAGTGTGAACCAAGGACTTTAAAAAGACGTATCTTTTGGCATTGGCTACCACCATATATAAGTTGCTAGCTGGCCCATTACCACAGTGTATGCGCCACCAGAAAACCTCCATTTTTGCTTTTCTCAGTCACCCTTTTCCCATTATTCTCATTCTCAGACATTCTACCCCTCATCTATTTCTCCCAGCCCTTTATAAAAGTCAGAAATCTCTCACGCTCTTCCTATCTCTATCAACTTCTTTTTTCCTAAGACCAAAAAAAAGAGGAGTCAGTTTCACACTTACAGTGGACGCTATATACATAGCACTCCGTCAGTCTAGCTTAATTGTGAAACCATGTTTGCGAGGAAGGACATTGCTCTTGCAGTATCAGTATTGGTGGTGTTTCAGATTCAGACGTGCTTTTCACAGATAAACAGAGCAAGTTTTCCAAAGGGTTTTGTTTTCGGAACTGCCTCTTCTGCTTTCCAGGTTGGTATACTATAAATTAATGGAATACACTTTTCTTACGTTTCTATAAATTTTTTTTTCCCCATTTTCTGAAATCATGAAAATATTGATTCATGTCTATTCCTCTTAGATTAAGCATAGAATAAGGTTATCACGTGATACTTTGGTCACGGACTAAGGTATTTTCACCATCGCCAATAATCTTGAGAAGATATAACTGACATTGAAGTTATAATTTGTCGTTTCCAAAACGAAAATAATTGAATTCGATAAAGATAACTAAAGCCTCATTATTGGTTCATTAGTCTGATGTGAGAAGTGTTTGTTAGATTTTTACAGTCTTTAGATGGGAAAATGAGAGAAGAAGATGGAGTTTTTGTTTTCATGCAGAGAGAATATTTTTGTGAAGTAATGCTACACGTACAAATAATTTTTATAAAGATTTATGTACAAATTGATGTGACAAAAAGTAAATAGAAAAGCGGGTACAAAAAGTCAAACTCGTCATATTCACTCTTTTATTCATTTTCTGTTACACCAGTTTGTACACACATTTTTATAAGATTTGTTTGTATATTTAGCATTATTGATTTTTGTCAATATATATATATATTCGAATGTAAAACGGCGTGTTTTTATAGGCTACAAATTCGTTGATGGAATAATTAGTGTGATAAGATATCATGAATTATATGGAAGATTAAAATAGAGAGTTTTGAGAGAAAGAATATGATTTAATTAAAAAATTGTAAAGAAGATAGAAACGAAGCTCATGACCCACCTACTATATGTGTGAATGGAATAGGAATAGGAATAGGAACAGGAATAGGAATAGGAATAGTCGCATTTTGACTCATGTGAATCTAACTTTAAATCCGCTGCTTTTTCCATCAAAAAGCACTTGTGATAGACACCCTAATGTGCATGCAAAAAGTCAATAGCACCATTATATATTGTTTAATTAACAAAATTAATTATCTTTTTTAATTTTAATTTAGGGGCAAATCACTTATAATCTTTCATTTAGGGCATAAGATCTCACCCTTTGGTTTTAAAAACTAGCAATATCAACTAATAGTTGTATTCCTTTATTAACTTGAAAATTGGGAGTAAGATTGTCTTTGATAATTGAGTTTATTAGGTCTTATTCTTTTGTTTTAGAAACTAACAATGTGGGAGTGACGTCAGATTCTGAAACTGTTGGGGTGGCATTGTCATTAAGTCATAGATAGGGGTTACCATGTAATTCTCCCTCTTTATGAGTTTTGATATGTTATTTGGATAATGCTATTTTTTTGCATACATACTACAAAATATTTGAGAAGCAATTTTCAACCCTCTTTTTTTTTTGCTTTGTAAGTCCCACCTAGTATACAATTGTATAAATGATCATAATAATTATATATTACAAAACCATTATCTAGAGATTGAGAGCATATATATTTTCAAGCTGCAGATGGCTTATGTATTGTATTCAAGTAGTTTTGTGAGTTGCTGATGATAATGAACTACTTTGTTTGTAGCATGAAGGAGCAGTGAAAGAGGATGGAAGGGGACCAACTGTCTGGGATAAATTTTCACATTCTTTCGGTAACATGGCAATGCTTGATGTTGTAAATCAACTAATTAAGCTGAAAAAAATCTGATAATTTATTTATTTTTACGCAGGTAAGATCATGGACTTCAGTAATGCAGATGTTGCAGTGGATCAGTACCATCTTTACCCTGTAAGTCCACAAATGATGATACTCAATCAATAAGGGCCTTAATGGTTTATTAGATTATTCTCTTTTTGAAATAGAGATAAGTGACTGCTTTGGTAACAGGAAGATATAGACCGTATGAAGGACATGGGATTGGATGCCTACCGGTTTTCGATTGCTTGGTCTCGGATTTTCCCTAGTAAGCTTTAGCGTTATAGTCTCTCATCATTGTTAATCAGACACCAAAATTATGCAGAAAAAGTCTCACATTGTGCCTGTTTGTAGATGCAACGGGAGAAATTAATCAGGCAGGAGTTGATCACTATAACAATCTCATCAATGCTTTACTTGCTAAAGGTATTCCATTTCATCAACGAGTCTATCGGATCTAGTTCAATGTTATCTATGATCTCATCTTGATAATTTAATAAAGCTACCATATGTTTTTGTTTCTGCTATTCAAGTTCTTCAGTAACAATTTTCGCTTTCATTGCGAAACTATGTTTATGAGAGAAAAAAAATCTTATGGCTTTCAACATGTGCAGGAATTGAACCGTATGTCACCCTTTACCACTGGGACCTTCCTCAAGCATTGGAGGACAAATACAATGGATGGCTTGATCGTCGAATTATGTAATTGTTCTCACACTTTAACTGATTTTCTTCAGCTGCAAACTTTCAATTATGAAATACCTTCATCACTCAAGCATTCGTATGACCCAATTTATTTACAGACAGGACTTTGCAACATATGCCGAAACATGCTTTCAGAAGTTTGGTGACAGGGTGAAGCACTGGATCACATTCAATGAGCCACATACATTTTCCGTACAAGGGTATGATGTGGGTCTGCAGGCTCCTGGACGGTGCTCAATCCTTAATGGATTACTCTGCAGGGCTGGGAACTCAGCAACTGAACCTTACATAGTCGCCCACAATGTTCTTCTTTCTCATGGAACGGTAGCAGATATATACAGAAAAAAGTACAAGGTGAAGTGTTAAAGGATGTTAATTTGAATTAAGAGAAATGAACTTCTTTTGTGTGCCAATGCAACTTATATAATAATGCTATTTGATGCATCATATTAAATCAAGTAAAGGTTTACATTTAGGCATGTGTAAATGTGCAATTATGCAATCATGCTTTAGTTCTTTTCATTATGTTAACCAACAAACTCTAGCAACTAAGGCTAATTGGTGATTATGCAGCCAAAACAACATGGATCAGTTGGCATATCATATGATGTTATTTGGTTTGAACCTGCAACGAATTCCACAGCAGACATTGAAGCAGCACAAAGAGCCCAAGAGTTTCAGCTTGGCTGGTAGGTGAAATACTTTTGGGTTTGAAAGTATCTAAGAAAGAAAATACCAGTGTGTATGCTTTTTTCTTTTTCCAAACAAAAATATCAGTTACTTTATTATCCCTGCAGGTTTCTTGACCCTGTGATGTTTGGGGACTATCCAAGTTCAATGAGAAGTAGAGTAGGAAGCCGGCTGCCAAGTTTTTCCAAATCTGAGGTTTCACTTGTCAAGGGCTCTTTAGATTTTGTTGGAATTAATCACTACACCACATTCTTTGCATCGAATTCGAATCTTGTTAAAGCTCTTAATGACTCCATTTCAGACTCTGGTGCCCTTACTGTTCGTAAGTGATAAAGTATCCTACATTTGGTCTATATTTATTACATAAACATTACAGTAAGAACTTTTTTTATTAGTTTTGCTTTGAATCTCAATAAAAAGGTTTCTCTTTGTTTCCGTATTGTTTTCAGCCTTTGCACTTGGGAAACCTATTCCAGACAGGGTAAGGAATCCATAGAAACTGACTTTTATTTTTTATTTTTTTTTATTTCATAATTGTTTAATAACCCAGTTGAAAAAAGTCAGCAGTAATTCTTCAGGAGACTTGAAAACTATGTCGATACAAGTATTGCCCTTATTGTAATTAATAGTCCTATCCCGGTAATGCACTGATTACTTATGTCATATTGCAGGCAAATTCTATATGGTTGTATATAGTGCCTCATGGAATGAGAAGCTTAATGAATTACATCAAACTTAAGTATGGGAACCCTCCAGTCATCATCACAGAAAATGGTAATCTTCTTAAAGCTGAAAAGAACTATTCAAGGAAGGCTTTAGTTAAAATAAATATCTGTTCATGGTCACTACAGGAATGGATGATCCCAATAACCGACTTATTCCCATCAAAAATGCTCTGAAGGATCAGAAAAGAATCAAATATCACAATGACTATTTAACAAACTTGCTATCAGCTATCAAGTATGTAACACTACTTTGCCTATTTCTACATCACATCGAAGTAAATGTGTGTGTTTGATGCTTTGTTTGAATGTGAAAGCTAATTGATTTAGTTATGATGAAATGCAGAGAAGATGGGTGCAATGTGAAAGGTTATTTTGTATGGTCTTTATTGGATAACTGGGAGTGGGCAGCTGGATACACTTCAAGGTTTGGTCTCTATTTTGTGGATTATAATGACAAACTGAAGAGATACCCAAAGGACTCTGTTCAATGGTTCAAGAAATTCTTGGCTTCTTCATAAGATGAGAAAATTGAAACAAATACTGAAACTTCACATTGTTATACCAAGATGTGCTGCCTAATGTAATTTGTGTTTTAGTGAAAAAATTTAATCATAGTCAAGCTTAAATTATAAAGCTTGAATCAATAATAAGTTGTCCTCATTTTGGATATGTCGCCTAATCCACAACCTTGTTTGGTTAAAATAAGCTTGGCTTCAGTGATAAGCATCCAGATGAACTGATGAACTGCATCCAGATAGTGCCGGCAATTAAAGATTCATATTCATTTAAGAAAATACAATGTAAATCGTTGAAAAAATAGATATATAAATCCTGAATACAACAAAACCAAATACGGATTAGAACTCTCTCTAACTCTAATCACTATCACCCATATCCTTCAGCTTCAGCTTCTTCAGACGACAGATAACATAATCGTTACACTGCAAAGTAACAAGAGACCTTTTGATCAATATGGATATAGATATCAAAATAAAGGGCTAGCAGTAAGTGAGAAAGGAATCACGAAGGCCAGTACTCGGTCAAATTTCATCTACCATGTCTTCCGACGTATGTAAAAATTGTCTTTGAGCCGATACATTGTGTATTACGACTTACCTCTTATCTTTTTTTGAGGCAACCACCGAGTAGAGCTCGACTTCTTCTCTAAATTTATTAATTATAATAGAAACTTATGTTTTATTTACATGAATTTATCAATATTAAGAATTAAATAGCTACAGTACTGCTTTTCTATTAACAAAAAAATTCAATAAAAAAATGCCATGAATTCCATATTACGAGTTATTTATCTTTGTAGACAGAGAGTTTTGTGGTGTATATGAATGGCGAGTTAAGATGGAGTGATGAGTGATACAAACAAACTCCCGAGAAAACAATAAATTCCCGAGAAAATCAAAGAAGGTTGGCATGCCAGTCGGCCAATGAGATGGCTAGTGAACGGGTAAAACAAAAGTAGACATAGAGCAAGATATGAGTAGATACCCCAAACAAGGAAAGCCAAAATCCAGACAAAAAGACGTGAAAAGATAAGCTGCATTCTAAAGGAAATCAAGTTGCTATTGCTTAATGCTTATTATAGTATTTTGTCATTAAGTGTCAACTAAAGACTCTAGAAAGAGTTATATTTTGGCATTGCACACCACCACCATTAAGCTGCTAGCTGGCGCACTACCACCGTGTATGCACCACTAAAACACCTCCATTTTTGCTTTTCTCAAATCTCAACCACTCTTTTCCCATTATTCTCATTCTCAAATCCTCAAACCCTCTCCCTTTATATAAATCCAAAACCTATCACTCCGGCTCTTCCTATCTCTATCAGCTTCTTTTTCTTTCTAAAACAAAAAACGAGTCAGTTTCACACGTACAGTCAAGCTTAATTGTGAAACCATGTTGTTGAGGAAAGACATTGCTCTCGTAGTATCAATAATATTCGTGTTTCAGATTCAAACAAGCTACTCACTGATTAACAGAGGAAGTTTTCCAGAGGGTTTCGTTTTTGGAACTGCCTCTTCTGCTTTCCAGGTTGGTGTAAATTAGTGGAATACAATTGTATTATTTTCTTTAATCATTTTTTTTCCCATATTCATTATTCATGTCTATTCCTGTTAGCTTAAGTATAGAATAAGGTTTTGACATACTACTTTGGTCAGGAGTCAAGGCTGTTTTTACTATGGCCAATCTTGAGAAGAGATGATTGACTTTGAAAATGTAGTTTGTGGTTTCCAAAATGAAAACAATTGAATTCCATACAGGTAACAAAAGCCTCATTACCGGTTCAGCTGTCTGCCATGTGAGTTTGTTACAGGCTTTAGTTGGGAGAATGAAGAGATGGGGATGGAGTTTTTGTCTTGTTTAAATTCTTTTGTTTTTACATAAAAAGGGTATTTTTATATTTTTGTCATTATATGATATATTCGGTTGTAAAAGGGCGGGTTTTTATAGGCTACGAATTCGTCGATTGAATAGGAACATTCCCAAATTACAGCTGACTTTCCTAGGTTTCAAAGTTTTGACTTTTGGAATAGGCTCTCTTATTAGAGTACCGTTTTTCTCAAACGAAATTCCAAATTTTCTCTTATATGATGTGTGTCTCAAGTAATGCTGACATATATATATATATGGAAAATAATGGAGGGTACGTTTGGTTCATTATTTTGGATAGAATTTTGGAAATAATATTGGATAGTTGAATAAAAGAGTATTATGATGTAAAATTTAAAAATTTATAAAAAAACCCATAGGTTTACTAATTTAATTAAACACCCCAATATATAAAATGACAAAAACACCCCCACCACCTACAGTGTCAGATTCTGGCCACCACCGCTAGAATCTAGCTGAAAATTGTGTTACGACACAGACCGATCAAATCTGTGTCGTAACGGGTTGATATGGTATTTTCCAACTAGATCCACCATGGATCTAGCCAGAAAAGGCCAGATCTACGACTGAATGTGGCCGTCGACGGCCGCAAAACTCCATCTTTGGCTGTCAGTGACAGTCAAAGATATAGCCGTTGTTTTAGGTCAACGATGGCCAAGATTTGATCTTGGCCATCGTTGACCATTAACGACGACCATTTCTTTAAGCGACGGCCAGATCGATGAATAATCGGCCAGTTTCGGTCGTGGTATAAGCGTTATGACAGATTCTGGCTATCACTAACGGTTGTTGCTAGAATCTGGCAAGTATGGGTGGGAGGGGGTGTTTTTGCTAATTTTTAAACTTTGTTTTTTGGGGGTATTTAGTGAAATTAATAAACTTAAGGGGTCTAAAAGTAATTAAAAAATACACTAATATTTTTGGAATAATGTGCCAAACAATATTTAGAGAATATGATTAGAAATATGGGTAGAAATAATGAACCAAATGCACTCATAATTATCGAAAAATGCACATCAAATTAATGCACCAAATAACATGGTGTCATTTTGACCGTCGATTAATTATAAATTTCTTTTTTTAAGAAAACAGGATGATGTCACGTCATTTGGTATATAAATTTGGCATACATTCTTCGGTAATTGTATCATTGTTCTATATATATTTGTTTATATAAAGATGATTTTACTTTTGAGAAAGATAACTTGATAAAGAATAAATCACTAAATAGTTGAGTGATCAATTAGAAATTTTAGATGTATTATTTTTGAATTTAATTTACTTTAGTTTCTAATATAAGTAATTATTAAAATTTTTATCCGTTGATAATTCTAAGATAGTAAAAGATTAGTTATAATACGTGTAAATTAGTTTAAACACACCGGTGATTAAAAAAAAAAAAAAAAACTGATAAAAAATAACGTACGTGGCCCAAATTTGTATAAAACTTTTCAAAAGACAAGTGATCTATTAATAATAATTAGTGTGATGACTGATGAGATGCCATAAATATCACATCAGTATGTGAAGGGAATAGTCAAGTTATTTGACTTAATTGTATCTAAACATTAAATTGGCTGCGTTATCTATCACCAGCAGGATTCTTTAACCAGATGTACTGTGATAGACACCCCATTCTATCTATATAATATATATGCTAAAAATCAATAAAAACCACGTTAAATATTTTTTTAATTATTTTACGGCTAAATCACTTGTCACTTGTGGCATAAGGATCTCACCTTTTGTTTTTAAAAAAGACTTAAATAATTTCTTTTTTACCCAAATAATGGTTTAATGGCACTTTTCTACTTATAACTTTTAAAATATCATTTTATTATCCAACTTTTTATATTCTGACAGCAAACAAAGAGCAAACTCATTTTAGGTTGTTAGAGCTTTTGAAGAGGGGAGACCGATGAATCTTTTGGTGGTGGTTTTGATTGATCTGAATTTGACTTGAGAAAAACGATTGCGTAAACCCTAATCACTTAATTGTCGATAATTGGCGGGTTCGATGAGAGTAGGGTTTGATGGATTTTGGTAAGTGATGATCGGAAAAGAGAATGGTAGTGGTGTGGGGTCGTAACAATGTTGGAATCAGAAACAGAATATAAATTTAGTTAATAAAATGATATTTTAAAAGTTTGAAGATGAAAAAGTGTCATTAAACCATTATTTGGATGGGAAAAAGTCGTTTACTCTATAAAAAACTAGCAATATCACCTAATACTAATATTGCTCCCTCAACTTCCATTTTTAAAAAACTAGCAATACTACTTAATACTTATAATCCTCCATTAACTTCAAATTTAACTTGAAAATTGGTTGTAAGATTGTCTTTGATAATTGAGTTTAGGTTTCAGGCATAATCAATCTCATTCTCTTGGTTTCAGAAAATACCAAGGTTTACCCACATATTAAGGTCAAATATTAAAATAAACTCATGAAGTAGTGACGTTAGATTCTGAAACTGGTGGGGTGAGATTGTCATGAAGTTATAGATAGGGGTAACCATGTAATTCTCCCTCTGTATGAGTTTGTTATGTTATTTAGATAATGCTATCTCTCACTATAGACCTATATTCGTTAACTTAATACATAACAATGAACATTATACTAGTTTTATTTATTTAAATACATAGTATCATTATTTAAGAAGTAATCTTCAGCCCCCTTTTATTGCTTTTGTAAGTCCCACCTATTATATAATTATATATACTTATTAAAAAATTCAGAGTAATTATATATATAAAACCATTGTCTGGGGATTGTTAGCATAAATACATTCAAGCAGATGGGTTGTCTATTGTATTCAATAGTATATGTGAATGGCTGATGATAATGAATTACTTTGTTGGCAGTATGAAGGAGCAGTGAAAGAGGATGGAAGGGGACCAACTGTGTGGGATACATTTTCACATATTTCTGGTAACATATAATAAACCAAAGATTTGATCAAGTTTCAATGCTTTGATAGTTACAGTGAACTAACAATTTTATTATTTTCTCTGCTTAAACTTTTGCCAGTTATTACTAGCTTGCTATCATAAATCAACTGATCAGGCTGAAACAAATCTGATAATTTATTTATTCTGATGCAGGTAAGATAATAGACAACACTAATGCAGATGTTGCAGTGGATCAGTACCATCTTTACAGAGTATGTCCACTTTATGGCTTATTAGACTGTCTTTCTGAACTAAAGATGAAACAATAAAGTTATAAGAAACTGGTTTGGAAACAGGAAGATATAGACCGAATGAAGGACATGGGAATGGATGCCTACCGGTTTTCTGTTGCTTGGTCTCGGATTTTCCCTAGTAAGCTTTAGCGTTATAGGCTCTCATCACTGTTAATCAGAAACCAATTATGCAGAGAAAGTCTCACGTTGTGCCTGTTTGTAGATGGAACGGGAGAAATTAATCAGGCAGGAGTTGATCACTACAACAATCTCATCAATGCTTTACTTGCTAAAGGTATTCTATTTCATCAATGAGGTCTCTCGATCCAGTTAAATGTTATCTATGATCTTATCTTGATAAGTTAATAAAGCTACCATATGTTATTGTTTTGCATTCAAGTTCTTCAGTCAACAACTATCACTTCATTGGTGAGCTATATTTATGAGGGGGGAAAAAATTCTCATGTTTTCAAAATGTGCAGGAATTGAACCGTATGTGACCTTTACCACTGGGACCTTCCTCAAGCATTGGAGGACAAATACAAAGGATGGCTTGATCGTCAAATCATGTAAATGGTCTTAAACTTATTTGTTTTCTTCCATTGTAAACATTCAATTATACAATACATCCGTCGTATAAGGTCTTCGTATGACCCAAGTCATTTACAGACAGGACTTTGCAACATATGCCGAGACGTGCTTTCAAAAGTTTGGTGACAGGGTGAAGCACTGGATCACATTCAACGAGCACATAATTTTCTGTACAAGGCTTGATGTGGGTCTGCAGGCACCGGACGGTGCTCGATCCTAAATCGATTTCTGCAGAGCTGGGAACTCTGCAACTGAACCTTACATAGTTGCCCACAATGTTTCCTTGCTCATGGAACCGGCAGATATATACAGGAAAAAGTACCAGGTGAAGTGTTAAGGATATTAATTAAAAGAAATGAACTTCTTTTGTGTGCTAACATATATAATGCTAAGGTGTGGATGGAATAAATCACAGTGCCAATCTCTATGTCTAAATCGGTTCACGGAATCTGTTTTGTGACATTATCTGAAACAGATATAGGGATATTTGATACTTATTAAATCAAGTATACATGTACATTTAGGCAAGAGTAGTGTGCTAGTACACAGTTGTGCTGCTGGTACAAGATCATTATGTTAAACAAAATAGTCGGGCAACTAAGGTCACTTGGTGATTATGCAGCCAAACAACATGGATCAATTGGGATATCTTTTGATGTTATTTGGTTTGAACCTGCATCAAATTTCACAGGAGACATCGTAGCAACACAAAGAGCTCAGGATTTTCAGTTGGCTGGTATGGGAACATATTTAATAAATATTTTTGGGTTTTGAGAGTACTAAGAAAGAAAACTATTGTATATGCCTTTTTGTGTTTCTAACAAAGGTATGAGTTACTCTATTCATCCTGCAGGTTTCTTGACCCTGTGATGTTTGGGGACTATCCAAGTTCAATGGGAAGTAGAGTAGGAAGCCGCTGCCAAGATTTTCTAAATCTGAGGCTGCACTGTCAAGGGCTCTGTAGATTTTGTTGGAATTAATCACACACCGTTCTATGGTCAAATGATACATTGAATATAATTGGAGGTCTGCTTAATGACTCCCTAGCAGACTCTGTGCCATTACCCTTCGTAAGTAAATGCTATCCACATTCGGTATTATATTGCATAACAATACTAGAGATACACAAAGAATTTTGCTTTTTAAAATTTCATTAACAAACTTTCTCTATGTTCACCTATGATTTTCAGTTTTGCAATTGGGAAACCAACTCCAGACGGGTAAGGAATCCATAGAAACTCTCTCTCTTTCTTTGTATTATAATAATTGTTAACGACCCAGTTGATGAACGTATTGCCCTTATGTTTAATGTTCCTGCCTGCGGTTATGCAAGATTAATTATGTCACATTGCAGGCAAATTCTATATGGTTGTATATAGTGCCTCATGGAATGAGAAGCTTAATGAATTACATCAAGCTAAGTATGGGAACCCTCCAGTCATTATCCAGAAAATGGTAATCTTTTAAATCCAAGAGAACTATTCAAGGAAGGTTGAGCTAAAAATTCTCTATCATGGTCATTACAGGAATGGATGATCCAAATAACCTACTTTCTCCATCAAAGATGCTTTGAAAGATCAGAAAGAATCAAATATCACAATGACTATTAACAAACTGCTAGCTGCTATCAAGTATGTAATACTACTATTCTTCTTCTACATTCAAATTAAGTAAACGTATGTGTTTGATTCTTTGTTTGAAGTTTGAAAAACTAATTGATTTAGTTTATGATGAATGCAGAGAAGATGGGTGCAATGTGAAAGGTTATTTTGTATGGTCTTTATTGGATAACGGGAGTGGGCAGCTGGATACACTTCAAGGTTTGGTCTCTATTTTGTGGATTATAACGACAAACTGAAGAGATACCCAAAGGACTCTGTCAATGGTTCAAGAAATTCTTGGCTTCTTCATAAAATGAGCAAATTGAAGCAGATACTGAAACTTCACATTGTCATACCAAGATGTGCTGCCTGTAAGAATATATCATTCTAAAGCAGGCACTTGAATAACAATCACACACAAACAAGAAAGCTACAAAACATAAGGAATTTATGCGATTCACTTTTGAACAGTTTTTCATTATAGTCTATTCACATTTTTCTATTGGCTCTCACTCTCTTATGATATAATGCACTTAAAAAAAATAAAATGATACAGCAAAACCAAATCCGAATGAGAATGAGGATTCTCCCTTTAACTCTAATCTCATCATCATTAGTCAACAGCTTCAGCTTCTTGATACGACAAAAAACATAATCACTACACTACAATAGCAAAAGAAGTTTTGATCAATATAGATATAAAAACATTATATCAAAATAAAGTGATAAAGAAATTTAACTTGATGATGAAGAGTTGATGATCGTGCTTACCTGAAGGTTCTTGAGGAAGCAACCTGAAGCCTGTACTCGGTCAAAATCCATCTACAATGTCTTCCCGCGTGCGTAAAATTTGTGTTTCAGTCGATACATTGTCAATTATGACGTATCTCTATCGTTTTTCGAGGCAGCCAACAGTAGAACTCGATTTTTCTCTAACTTAGAGAAGAAGTAAAGAGATTTCACCCTATTGTATACCTAATAAAAAATCAGGGCTGATATAAGCTCATGCAGCAAGAGCCAATGAGTTCAGGAAGTGTCGTCAATGGGACAAGTGAAAGCTTGGCTTATGAGTGTCTAGGAATTGTCCATCTGCCCAAGTTTTACGCGATTTAAAAATAATCTTTGTGCCAATCAGCCAATGGAAAGCAGGTTAGGAATTGTATCATACCTGTCCGACCACAGAATCATAATTATTGCCTTGAATCCCTCGACTGTAAATAGAGGGCTCCTCTCTCATTTACAAGATCTGCCCATTTTTTAGTTTTCTAAAGCAGACTCTCTCTCTTTGTATTTAAATTCTCTCTAGATTGTAACTCAGCTTGTTTGTGCAATCAGCCAATGGAAAGCAGGTTAGGAATTGTATCATACCTGTCCGACCACAGAATCATAATTATTGCCTTGAATCCCTCGACTGTAAATAGAGGGCTCCTCTCTCATTTACAAGATCCGCCCATTTTTTAGTTTTCTAAAGCAGACTCTCTCTCTTTGTATTTAAATTCTCTCTAGATTGTAACTCAGCTTGTTGTACGCGACCTGTACGCGACCTGACTATAATCATCTATTAATACAACTATAGTGGATATATGATTCGCCTTTGAACATCCGAACTATTTTAAAAAATTGTCTCTTGTTTATTCTTTCGTTGCATATTTCCACATCACGTGTGATTTCTAAGTCCGTTTAACACTTTACACATAAGAGTCATTGGTGTCAAAATCAAGCATCAACACCCATAAACAAATTTATAATTTTTCATGTCTCTAAGAAGGAGTTGAGGCAGGATTCGCATAGTGTAGAATGCAAAATAAACATTCAATGTGATATACAAATTGAGTATGTCCAGCGGCAGAGATTAACTAATTCTCCTTTATCAAGAAAAACATATTTAATTCAAACAAAATAAGGAATCAGTTTCAGTCTAATAAAGCCACTAATCTTTATTCAAATGAGATTAATTATGTTCATCAGCAATTAACACAGCATGCTCTACAGCTTATTAATCATCAAGGAAAGTTATACTTGCTGTCATATACTTCACCAAATCGCCAGCAAGACGGCACAACATTAACAGCTTGCACCATTTTCCCATCACTGGTACTCACTCGAAACGACAAACTTTGCCCGACTAATTGCGCAGAAGTTTGCCAGTTTTGGCCCCAATTTCTCGACATTTGTATCCAACTTGTGTTCGAGCCTTTGATCTTCACGTCTGTGACATCGCCAGCTCCTCCAACATTGTACACTAACACAAGTATCCAATACGGATTTCCTTTGATCTCAAACTTAACACCTCCATGTTTAACGCAAGGAACTCTACGATATATTACAGGAACAATGCCAGCTCGGTAACGAGCGATTTGTCGGAACATGGGTTGTGAAAGATCAAAGTGTTGTAGAGGCGGATTGCACCAGTTTCCATCAGGTTTTGAGTAATTGGGTGGGCAAAAGTTGGTTGCAGTTACTGTGATTTTACCTTTCAAGCACCATTGTGTGGAGTTGTGGCACTGGATTTCGTAGCAGGCTCCACAAGTTTGACCATTGTTGAATAGTGCTGTACTTAAGGCTGTCGAAAGAAGGCCGTAACCTTGTTTAAACAGATCTCCATATCCACAGGCTCCTTCTGCAGTAACCCGTAACAAAAGAGTGAAATTGTTAGAGATTGCATGTTAAAATACTAAAATGAAAAAAAACTTGAAGAGGAAGATGATGTGGATGACTGACGCATGGTTTCGGAGGCAGTCATGTCACCATAGAACGTTGCATGAGCGGCTTTCCACTCATTCCCATTAGGCGTTGTGGCTCTGCAAAAGAGGAATAAAGCCGTCACCATCACCAACACCATGGACCTCTGACCAGCCATGTATTTTTTCTCACTTGCAGAAATATGCTTAGCAGCCATGTATAAATAATTATTCATTGAAAAGTATTATCTTAAAAGGGACAAATAATATTAATGAAAAACAATAAAAGTTTTACCAATTTGAGGGGTCAAACTGAGCACATTTAATTTTGCTTTATAATATTGAGGATTTGCAAGTAATTATAATTCTAACTTATGTGTTCAAGCAATTATTTGATATTAATTATTATTTGTAATATTATTGTAAGAATGTTTTTAAATAAAATTATTTGCGTGAAACATTAGTGTATGAACATGATAGTTTTCAAATTAGTACAAGGTCCAATATAGTTTTTACATTAATTAAAGTCAATTAATGAGTGACAACCCTTGTAAATGTAGTATAACTTTTTCAGAGTTGGTCAGCTTTCTCTTTGACTGCTAACGTAACCTCTACTTCCAACGTAGTTAATCTATTTGACTTCATATAATAAATAAAATTATTATAATTAAAACAAAATTCAAGAAAAGACAGTATTTAGTAAATTCGGCTTTTTTTTTTCTTTATTGAGACCCGCCAAATGATTCCTCTCTCTGTATATAATTCCATTACATTCAAATAGACTAAGGAGTCCATGTTTTCTATGACAAAATAAAGAATTGAAACAGTCAACACCTGCAAAAGCATTGTCCTTTGGATCAAATTTATTTGAAAATTTTCTTTGGGCAACCATGATTGATAGAAACCTCTCTCCTTATGATCGAATGACAAATCTTTTAATTATTAGGATTAATTATACCTTAGAGGTCTTGTGTTCGAATAGCAGAATCTTAATACCTCAGTTAACTTGAAAAAAAAAAAAAAATGATTAATATAGGGAATGTATGTAGGACAAAATATGGCTTTAACACCGAAAATGAGCATGAAAGTGGGTGGAGGTGTTAGCCCAATTAGCACCCATCTTGGGATTGAGTTGGGCAAGATTGCTCTTATGGGCTTCTGATGTCCTTTTCCCATGTAAAATTGAGTATTTTGAAATAACCATGATTTTCGTAACTCCATAATTTTCAGACAATTTCTATATTTTCAGTGTGAATTAAGGAAAAGCCTATCTTCCCAATTGTTGCTGGGAAAAAAAGGCCTCACGGTGAAGATATTGCAGCAGGAAGTATTGAAGCCATATACTCCATGCAAAATTTTACCGTTTAAGTTCAATGTAGTTTTTGGACGCATATACACCAACACATTCCATTTACTTTGATTTTTCTCCTGGATCGCTAGTGGGTTAGAGAAATGTTTTTTATAATGTACTTTAAAATATATATATATATATATCTTCTGTAAAGGTCAAAAATCATCTTGGGCTTGCTAAAACACGAAACATCTATTACATAGTCCAGTGCCATGGCCCAATTCCGGTTGGGTCTATTCTAAGATTCATGTCATAGGTCAACTCATTACACCACCCAAGATACTCACGAACTGGATCATCCAATCACTAAGGCTTTATCTCGAATTGGGCCTCGCCATCAGTCCATTTGGGCTCAGGCCCATCGGCCCAAGATCACTCCAAGGAACGTTCCTACTCCATATATATCCTGATTTATCTAAGATCCTTAATCTTACATGAATTAGGACTCTTGCCCCTACAAAGGCGAGTAAATCAGGACTTTCCTATTTACTGAAACTCTGTCATTATAAATCTAGAGTTTTACTAGACGTCAAAGATCTTAGATTCACTATATAAACATAGGCTTGACCTCTCATTGGGATCCATTATTAAATACCACTTACTAGCTCCTAAAGTTCTTGCTCATAAGAACTAACACCTTTGTCGTAGTTCTAGTCTCCGATCATACTCTAGTAACCCTTCCTCCCCTTAACACTCACTAACTAATCTCTTTTAGCCTCACTAACTTCAGCGTCAGAGTGTCTACGTCAGACACCATACTTGTGTCCCTCGTGAGCTTCACGCTTACTTTGTCGGAATGCCTATAACAGACATCATACCAGTGTCCCCCGTGAGATTCGCACTTACTTTCTTTGTATGTGCAGGTTCAACAAATTGTTAATGGTCTTAATCTCACATGATCAGTTCGTTTCGTAACTATAGATTTTAACCATTTACATCTTCTTTTGGTAAATTTAACATAAAATATATTTATAATTCTTAAATAAATATAGGACTTGAATGACTCTAGTCATTGTTTTAAAGGGTAAAGGTCTAGTCCGTACAAAAACTTTAATTAATAGAAATCCAGCAGCAAACTTGAATCCTCATAAACAGAGGCAGCCAATGAATTAAAACAGAAAAATTTCTGATAAATTAAAGAATCGATCAATTAATTCGTCCAAGCATAGGAATACGACCTTGTTCATGTGTTTACTCTGACAAATAATTCGGACAAGATCTCACTCCCTATATATATGTTGTGTAAGAACCAAGTTCAGCTATACTTGTCCGCGTGTTGCTCTTCTGAATAAGAAGGGAGTTCTGTGAGCATTGTTCCAACATTACAACGTTAACCAACATATACATTCTTGTGTCAGTGGCTCCTTCAGCCATGGTTTCTTCATCCAGATACACTTGCTCTGAAGAAGAAGAAGAGAAGAATCTCAACCAACTACAACCTAATTCGATAAGCAATTCGACGATTTCGTCAAGTAATGAAGAAGACCATAAAGAAGAGTTGAATTTACCATTGGGATATCGTTTTTCGCCGCACAGTAATGAGCTAGTTATGCATTACCTGGTGAACAAGATTTTCAGCCAGCAGCTTCCTGCAAATATTATTAGAGAGATCGATTTCTATGCTTATGACCCTCATCAACTCCCCATAAGTAAGTTTAATCTCATTCACTAATATTCTCAGTAAGTTTACCTTACTCTGGTACAATTTAATAAGTTTGAAACTTGAATAAAGGTGAATTCAAATACGGTAAACCCAATGAGGCATATTTCTTCACCAATCTTGAAATAGACTAGAAGGGACTGACAAGACGGACCACCAAGAATGGTTATTGGAAGACTACTGGTCGAGATAAAGAGACATTTCATAACAATGCAATTGTTGGATTCAAGAAAACTTTGATGTTCAATGAGGGGAAGGCGCCAAAAGGGACAAGAACCCACTGGGTAATGCATGAATTTAGAGTTAATCCTTCAATAATTCAATCCTTTGCACGGGATGAAACCGTTCAAAGAAAGATAATTACTTATTGAATTAGTGTTTGATAAGTGTAGTTGTATTGTAATTTAATTACTTAAACGTTGTTGGTTTTTATCTGGTTTATTTCAGATGGAGAGTTGTGATGTATGCAAAGTTAAATGCAAACCAGACAGTAACAACAATGGCCTGGAAAGCAAAACAAACAAACAAATCTGCAGCAAATTAAGTCAGCTCAGGTGGAGACCAAATTCAAATAATACAAACAGCCACTCCTTCCCTTTGTTTTCTTTGCCTTGATATAAGAAAAAGTTAAAAGAAGATTTTTGATGTTGTTGTTGGAGTCCTAACTGATTAGGCATACTCAAGCTTACTGGTTTATAAGAGGAGGTAATCCTTCTATTCAATAAAGCTTTATTTGGTGAGGAGTCAGACTTACCGAGTTACCTCAAATTTTATCATAATATTAGAGCCCAAGTTGTCGACAATTACCTCTAATATTAAGCATGATTCAATATATGAGCTTGATCGTGAAAGAGAGTGTTAGAATCTCATATTAATTAAGTACACTCAAACTTACTGATTTATAAGAAGGGGTAATTATCTGGTCTTATTATTTGAAGAATCGAGTCCACATCAAATTTTGATATATTAAGCCATATCTTATCAATATCTATAAATGGAAAAGCAGCAGGGATACAATATATAGTTTGACTACTGACATGAACCTGAAAAAGCTTAACATTAATGTCAACTCAAGGCAATTCCAATTTATGTGTATGGTTCTCGAAATTGAACAAAATAATTTTATTAAAAAATGAAATAAATACAATATTTAATTTCTAATATATATCCTGAAACAAACCGATTTGACTCGAATCCCGGACCCGGCTTTAGACAATGAGTTAGTTGGAGATTATTGAGATGTGACTCAATTTGTGCCACATCAATCAATTAGTTCGTTGTGGGTTGATAAAGGTTTTGTTCCGTAACCGCGTAAAGTTTTATTTTCACCTTTATTTTTTATTTTTTCGTAATTCATGTAATTTGCGTTCACATAAAGTCTCCCATTTGTTTCCAAAGGCAGCCGACTTTTTTTAAAACTTACTATTCTCGCATCCTACATCAATTTCTTATTTTCCCTAACTTTCAAAGTTAATAACATTAATTCGCCTAAGGATTATTACCTAATTGTCCTCAATCCATATTTTAACACTTTAGGATACGTTTGATTTAGAGAATATTGTATTATTGAGAATGTTATATTAATGAGAAGACAAATTACTTTGAAAATTATTAGGACGGTTATATTAAATATGTTTGGTTAGATTATAATATATTAGTGGGTATGTTGTAGTGATATGTTTTATTAGGAAGAATAAATTGGTGGGTATGTTATATAGATAATTGAATTGCCCTTCTTTTTTCATATTACTATTATTATTATTTGAACTATTTTTTAATCGCCTACATTTGAGATTTTGCTAAAACACTCCAATCACAATAAAAGTTTAAATTTTAACAAAATCACCCACCCAAGCCACTACCAATGTCTACTGCTGGCCACCTCCATTGGCAATGCCTGAACAGTGCACGACAAGCCGAAAATGGTCGATCGTTCACCGATATAGCCGAAGCCAGATCTATTATAGCCATTTTCGGTCAAATCCATGGCCATTAACGACCAGATCAATGCACAACCGGCCATATCTAGCCGGTTGTGCACCGTTCCAGCCACGGTTGCTGGCATCCGATGATGGTGGTTGACCGCCACAAGTGGTGGCTGGATCTGGTCATCTGTCTTGGGTAATTCTATGGAAGTGCAAGGGTAATAATTTCCTAAAAATATTGTGTATAATTATAAATAGTTCATGAATATTCTTG